CAATACTTATTTCCGCGAAGGAAGATGCGTTTCCGCTATCTGTTCCCTCTTTGGCATGTCTTCAAACCAGTCAGTGTACGTCCTCACACCATCAGTCAGTGGGAGTTCGGTCTTGACTGAGTTCGGTCTTGACTGCCGTCGAGTTCGGACGTCTTTTGCTTCTCAGCAACTTGTCTAGTGTTATACAGCGCACTTGACTGTTTATGATACTTCCTCTTTTGTTCTTTGGCTTTTGATTTCTCTTGTGTTGGAGTGCATTCAAACTTTTCATTTCTATTTGGTGTTTGCTGATTGTTACAGTCAGTTGTTGGGGATTGTCCTCGACAATGGCTGACAACAGAATGGAATGTGAGGAAGGATTTAAAGTCGTTGCTTCAGGGAGGAAGCGAATCGGCCGTATTCCAGATGGTACTTCTAAAAAAGCCTGTGTTGCCAAGCAACCAAATACTGTTCCTCCTACTCCAAGGTCTGATCTTACTTTTGTCTTTGATGAGCCACCTCGGGTCAAATCAACCACTGTTATCTTCAAAGCCAATGTAGATGAATATGATGATGGTTCACCGACCCTCTGTCAACTTATGACACAGCGTGCTTTGGCTAGAGCCTTGGATAAGATCACTACAGAAATAGTCAGTGTTAAGCGGATGGCCAGGGGAGATGTTAGTGTCACTGCAAAAACCGTTGAGGCTGCCAAAACACTTTTGCAAGTCACAGAACTTGATGAACATTTTGTCACCCCTCATGAGCCTGAATCCTTAATGAGATCACGTGGAGTCATCTATGGTATTGATCTGGATATTGAGATGAATGAAATTGAGGACGAGTTGAAACCCGTGTTACCTCTAATGTGCTCTGCTGTGCGTCTGACTCGTGGGCCTGATAAAGTTCCCACCAAATCTGTTCTTCTTACATTTACTGGCCAGTCTTTACCGGATCATGTTGTCATTTTCTTCCAGAGATTTCCAATCCGGATATATGTTCCTCCTGCTCTTCGATGCTTCAAGTGTCAGTCCTTTGGGCATGTCTCTGCTAAGTGTAGAAGCACTCATCATGTGTGCGCTAAATGTGGAGGGAAGCACAAATACGAGGAGTGCAATGAAAGTTCCCTTAAATGTAAGAACTGTGGTGGTGCACACTCTGCGGCATATAAAGGTTGTATTAAATACCAGGAAGCTGTCCAGATTCAGAAAGTCCGAGTGGAGGGTAAGTTGTCTTATTCTCAGGCTGTTCGACAGGTGCGTGGAGATTTTGATGTCGCTCAGGTTCCAGCAGTCCCTAAGCCACCTCCTGCAGCTAAACCACTGTCTCAGGTTGTTACAATTTCTGATGTTGTGTCTTCTCCTGTCATGGTGACTGCTAGTACTCAGACTGAGACTCTTGAAGTTGAATGTCAGACTGATCCTGTTGTTGACATCATTCCTGAATCATCTTGCAAACCTCTATTTAACAATGTCTCTCCTGTTGACTTTCTCAACTTTGTTATTTGTATAGTTGCTAATCTTGGCACTACTCGTGCATTCAAGTCTGATGGTCTTCAGACGATAGCGTCAGCAGCCCAGTCCCTCTTGGGGTTAAGATTGTCCCCTGATGATCTGACGAGCATGGTTAAGGGTCAACAATGGAAGTCTTAATCCATCCTTCTTATGGATCTCTTGATGCTAGATCACTCAGTGCTAACGGTCCAGGATTTAAAGTTTGTATTAAGTTTTGACCCAGATGTTTTGTCTTCAGGAGACATTCTTCACTCCTAACCAGCGATTATGTTGGGAAGGTTATGTCTGCCTACGTAAAGATCGTCAGTTTGGTTTTACAGGTGGTAGTGCTAAACTCACTCACTCACTGTCGTTTAGTGAAATAAGGTTCAACCATCCCATTTACAAGGGAATGAAGTCATTCTTCATTTGAAGGATAAAAAAATCAGTCTCCATTTTTAATGTCTCTAATAACGCTATTGCTTTCTCTGATGACCATGGGTCTCTGTTGAATATGTCAGCCAATCTTAAAGTAGTGTGTGGTGCTTTTAAAGCGTGTGGCAGTTTCACTAGTCTATGAACTATCTAGGTACTTAGCAAACCTTTATTATGGGCAAGGTGTACATGGGCCTAGTTGCCCGAACACCTATAAAACTTTCTAACAATCAATCAATCAATCGGTCTTGACTGCCGTCGAGTTCGGACGTCTTTTGCTTCTCAGCAACTTGTCTAGTGTTATACAACACACTTGATTGTTTATGATACTTCCTCTTTGGTTCTTTTGACTTTTGATTTCTCTTGTGTTAGAGTGCATTCAACCTTTTAATTTCTATTTGGTGTTTGCTGATTGTTACAGTCAGTTGTTGGGGATTGTCCTCGGCAATGGCTGACAACAGAATGGAATGTGAGGAAGGATTTAAAGTGGTGGCTTCAGGGAGGAAGCGAATCGGCCGTATTCCAGATGGTACTTCTAAAAAAGCCTGTGTTGCCAAGCAACCAAATACTGTTTCTCCTACTGCAAAGTCTGATCTTACTTTTGTCTTTGATGAGCCAGCGCGGGTCAAATCAACCACTGTTATCTTCAAAGCCAATGTAGATGAATATGATGATGGTTCAACGACCCTCTGTCAACTTATGACACAGCGTGCTTTGGCTAGAGCCTTGGCTAAGATCACTACAGAAATAGTCAGTGTTAAGCGGATGGCCAGGGGAGATGTTAGTGTCACTGCAAAAACCGTTGAGCCTGCCAAAACACTTTTGCAAATCACAGAACTTAATGACCATTTTGTCACCCCTCATGAGCCTGAATCCTTAATGAGATCACGTGGAGTCATCTATGGTATTGATCTGGATATTGAGATGAATGAAATTGAGGACGAGTTGAAACCCGTGTTACCTCTAATGTGCTCTGCTGTGCGTCTGACTCGTGGGCCTGATAAAGTTCCCACCAAATCTGTTCTTCTTACATTTACTGGCCAGTCTTTACCGGATCATGTTGTCATTTTCTTCCAGAGATTTCCAATCAGGATATATGTTCCTCCTGCTCTGCGATGCTTTAAGTGTCAGTCCTTTGGGCATGTCTCTGCTAAGTGTAGGAGCACTCATCATGTGTGCGCTAAATGTGGAGGGAAGCACAAATACGAGGAGTGCAATGAAAGTTCCCTTAAATGTAAGAACTGTGGTGGTGCACACTCTGCGGCATATAAAGGTTGTATTAAATACCAGGAAGCTGTCCAGATTCAGAAAGTCCGAGTGGAGGGTAAGTTGTCTTATTCTCAGGCTGTTCGACAGGTGCGTGGAGATTTTGATGTCGCTCAGGTTCCAGCAGTCCCTAAGCCACCTCCTGCAGCTAAACCACTGTCTCAGGTTGTTACAATTTCTGATGTTGTGTCTTCTCCTGTCATGGTGACTGCTAGTACTCAGACTGAGACTCTTGAAGTTGAATGTCAGACTGATCCTGTTGTTGAAATCATTCCTGAATCATCTTGCAAACCTCTATTTAACAATGTCTCTCCTGTTGACTTTCTCAACTTTGTTATTTGTATAGTTGCTAATCTTGGCTCTACTCGTGCATTCAAGTCTGATGGTCTTCAGATGATAGCGTCAGCAGCCCAGTCCCTCTTGGGGTAAAGATTGTCCCCTGATGATCTGACGAGCATGGTTAAGGGTCAACAATGGAAGTCTTAATCCATCCTTCTTATGGATCTCTTGATGCTAGATCACTCAGTGCTAACGGTCCAGGATTTAAAGTTTGTATTAAGTCTTGACCCAAAGCCAGATGTTTTGTCTTCGGGAGACATTCTTAACTCCTAACCAGCAATTCCGTTGGGAAGGTTATGTCTGCCTACGTAAAGATCGTCAGTTTGGTTTTACAGGTGGTAGTGCTAAACTCACTCACTGTCGTTTAGTGAAATAAGATTCCACCATCCCAATTACAAGGGAATGAAGTCATTATTCATTTGAAGGATAAAAAATCAGTCTCCATTTTTAATGTCTATAATAATGATATTGCTATCTATGATGACCATAGGTCTCTGTTGAATATGTCAGCCAATCTTAAAGTAGTGTGTGGTGCTTTTAAAGCGTGTGGCAGTTTCACTACTCTATGAACTATCTAGGTACTTAGCGAACCTTTATTATGGGCAAGGTGTAAATGGGCCTAGTTGCCCGAACACCTATAAAACTTTCTAAAAATCAATCAAATCATCAGTCAGTGCACGTTCTCGCACCATCGGTCAGTATACATCCTCGCACCATCAGTCAGTGTCCGTCCTCGCACCATCAGTCAGTGTACGTCCTCGCACCATCAGTCAGTATACGTCCTCGCACCATCAGTCAGTGTACGTCCTCGTACTATCAGTTAGTGTATGTCCTCGTACCATCAGTCAGTGTACGTCCTCGCACCATCAGTCAGTGTACGTCCTCGCACATCAGTGTACGTCCTCGTACCATCAGTCAGTATACGTCCTCGCACCATCAGTCAGTGTACGTCCTCGTACTATCAGTCAGTGTACGTCCTCGCACCATCAGTCAGTATACGTCCTCGCACCATCAGTCAGTGTACGTCCTCGCACCATCAGTCAGTGTACGTCCTCGTACTATCAGTTAGTGTATGTCCTCGTACCATCAGTCAGTGTACGTCCTCGCACCATCAGTCAGTGTACGTCCTCGCACCATCAGTGTACGTCCTCGTACCATCAGTCAGTATACGTCCTCGCACCATCAGTCAGTGTACGTCCTCGTACTATCAGTTAGTGTATGTCCTCGTACCATCAGTCAGTGTACGTCCTCGTACCATGTCAGTGTACGTCCTCGCACCATCAGTGTACGTCCTCGTACCATCAGTCAGTATACGTCCTCGCACCATCAGTCAGTGTATGTCCTCGTACTATCAGTTAGTGTATGTCCTCGTACCATCAGTCTGTGCACGTCCTCGCCCCTGCTACCTCAGTCGATATGTTGCTGCCATGGAGAAAATGACGACTGTGATCGAAATTGAACTTGACCTTTAGCCTTTCCTTCTTTCAGCCGATGCCATTACTGAGCACAAAAGGACCATAGCCTTCTACCTGTATGGCAGTAAGTACTCACACCAGTTGGCAGCGGACGCAGAGTGGGCGAACTCATGAACACTACTGAGTATGTTGCTGCATGTACCCCGAGCTATAACACCAGTATAACACCCTGTACATATTCCTTACACTTGTTGTACATATACACATTCAAGCAAGTTTTAAATGTGTTATCATTTGGATAAGTATAATTATATTGACAGAAATATCTACAATTAGTAATACCTTAGCTATTATTTATGAATGGGGCGTGCATGTTTCCGTGTCTTTTCTAGGTTTAGGAAAACAAGCGATAACACCCCTGTTCATTGTTAGAGTAAACGTGAATACTTTCCACTGACTGTTTTGCGATAAATCGTTCCAATGACATTTGAAAATTCACCTACTCCTGGACTATCATTATTGATCATTGATCTTACTCTCCTCGATAGATCTTCAATTTCAACTGGTTTGTCTAGGTCGTCGTTCGGGTCCGTAAGTGATGGTGGCTATATAAATGGACTATTACTATCTGGTCGACTGACGATAGTTTCTCCTCTTCAGCGTTCGCCGTGTGCGCGTTCCTCTTCCTCCTGATGTGTGTGTACTTCCCCAACTCGCCCCCTCACCCGCCATCTGTGTCCGCATCTAAAGCCAGGATGGACTACGTTGCCGGTCTCAAACACTTGGCCAGGTCAGACTCCAGTTATCCCCTACCATCTCGTCATTGATATTCCTACAGTGCCGACCCATGAAGATACGGGGTAGAATAGGTCTTCAGCAACCCATGCTTGCCGTAAAAGGCGAATATGCTTGTCGTAAGAGGCGACTGACGGGACCCGGTGGTCAGGCTCGCTGACTTGGTTGATGCGTGTCATAGTATCCCAACTGCGTGGATCGATGTACATGATGTCAATAACTGGATTGTCCGGTCTAGACTCGATAACTTACAGACCGCCGTCATATAGGTGGAATATTGCGGCGTTAAACAACAAACAAAACAAATCCTACAGTACCACTCTTATACATATTGAAACAAGGATAGAAATAAAACGGACCGAGCGTTATCGGGCAAAGCGGAACCACTGTTATTTGCTAATGTCCTCATTTTGCCTAAAGACGGCCATTGTTGTTTGTCTGATGGCAGAGCTATTTGCATACCAACATAAACAAACATGGCGAACGATGGCTTCTGAGTGAGTGAGTTAATGCTTTACGTCCCATCGGCAATATTTCAGCCATATCTTGACGAGATGGCTTCTGAAAGTATTGTTGAGAGAGTTCCCCTAGAACTGATAATGTATAGGTCGATGACGTTTCGTTTCTGTAGAAGAAAACGATGGCGATTTAGATTAGGAACAGGCGACAGAGTGCAAATTGAGGGGGGAATCGACCAACCGATCTGTAATCGAACATACGGCGAGGTTGAAGAGTCTTTTCCCTTGCAACGTTTAAGCAGACGTAAAATTTTCTACATAACCTGAACCTTCATCTTTAATATCAGTGTCAAGGAAGCTTCGAAAATTGAGGCTCAAAGAGCTAAAAAATGGCCTCTTCGGATGTCCAGAGAATGGAAGGCCAAGGTCGAATTACGTCAAGCGACTATTAGTGACGTAATCCACTGCAGATGACGTGTTTCTAGGCCAGTGTCACACTGACCTCTGCTGTGTTCTGCACGTGAATAACAACTGATTACCATGCCTTGTTGTGTTGTTTCCGCGCAGGTTTAGTCTTTCAGGTTGATGTGCCTCATAATTATCCTCCGATTGTGGTCTAGAAATACAGGAGATCGTTGCAGCCATGGGGACACAAGATCCCCGGCTCCAAAATTGATTGATTAATAACCTCCAGCATGTAAAAACAATGATTTCTCCGACAATTCAATTTCAGAAATCACTTTAAAACATCTAAAATGTTCATTTTACATTTCGACTGGCGAAACGAATTAGAATATAAACACTTTCCGGTGCATTTAAGTCTGATAGATATTGTATACAAGTTCACAAACACGCTGGTGTATTTCTCACTGCAGATAAATTACTATACTTACAGAAAGAGGCGCTTCTGGCAGATCGCAGTGGCTTATGGGCTGTCGACAGGGACGCGAGATGTTTGGGGCTTTGCCATGTTAGATGTCAACTTAAAAGCGCATGGTATATCTCAGGTAAAGGATGTCTTGGCGACGATTTGGAGCTCGCTTGTCAAACGATGAGTACATAACATACAGCACTGTACGTGGCACCCTCATATTCCATTCACCACCACTGCTTGGACTATATATGACCTTGGACTATACTTGACCTTGGACCAAACATGAACTTGGACTATACTTGACCTTGGACTGAACTTGACCTTGGACTATACTTGACCTTGGACTAAACATGACCTTGGACTAAACTTGACCTTGGACTAAACATGACCTTGGACTATACTTGCCCTTGATAGTCCTGACATAACTACCTCAACTTCTCCCGTGGCTGACCAGATATAAGCTCTTCTGAACCTATGAATGACTAGATATAAGCACTTCGGAAACTATGGATGACCAGATATAAGCACTTCTGGACCTGAGGATGACCAGATATAAGCACTTCTGAACCTGAGGATGAACAGATATAAGCACTTCTGGACCTGAGGATGACCAGATATAAGCACTTCGGAAACTATGTTTTGGCAGATATAAGCACTTCTCGACCCATAGATGACTAGATATAAGCACTTCTGGACCCATAGATGACTAGATATAAGCACTTCTGGACCTGAGGATGACCAGATATACGCACTTCTGGACCTGAGGATGACCAGATATAAGCACTTCGGAAACTATGTTTTGGCAGATATAAGCACTTCTGGACCCATAGATGACTAGATATAAGCACTTCTGGACCCATAGATGACTAGATATAAGCACTTCTGGACCCATAGATGACCAGATATAAGCACCTCTGGACCCATAGATGACTAGATATAAGCACTTCTGGACCCATAGATGACCAGATATAAGCACATCTGGACCCATAGATGACTAGATATAAGCACTTCTGGACCCATAGATGACTAGATATAAGCACTTCTGGGTCCAGAAGTTTGACATTCTGTTACTTGCAATGTATTTTTGCACCAGTCATCCCCAAATATGGATGCAATCATCTCCTCTGCCTGACACACCCCGACACAATGTTTACCTGTACAAATCGTCATAACATGTTCCTTTATTCACAATGTTTATTATACATTCTAGACACTGGTTATTACTGTTTACAAACTACAAAGCTGGAAGAATGATTCTGAATGATGAGTATAATCTCAACCTTGAGGCTTTATTTATCAAATGTATCAACACTCGTCAAGCTTCTGAGTAACCTTTACCTTAGTGTTGATATATTGACACCAAAAGACTCCGCTGAAATATACTATTTCGATTTACCCATTCAGGAACTTACATACTGCTTGACCAGAACTAAAACAGTGTTTCGAAAATCTTTCCTTATTTTCACAACTAATCAGTTTAGTAGGCACATACTATCAGTCAGTGTACGTCCACACACCACACCATCAGTCTGTCTACATCAGTTAGTGTACGTCCTCATTCCACACCATCAGTCAGTCTACATCAGTTAGTGTACGTCCTCACACCACACCATCATTCAGTGTACGTCCTCACATCCCACCATCAGTCAGTGTACGTCCTCACATCCCACCATCAGTCATTGTACGTCCTCACACCACACCATCATTCAGTGTACGTCCTCACACCACACGATCAGTCAGTGTACGTCCTCACATCCCACCATCAGTCATTGTACGTCATCACACCACACCATCAGTCAGTGTACGTCCTCATACCACACCATCAGTCAGTGTACGTCCTCACACCACACCATCGGTCAGTCTACTTCAGTCAGTGTACGTCCTCACACCACACCATCAGTCAGTGTACGTCCTCACACCACACCATCGGTCAGTGTACGTCGTCACACCATACTATCAGTCAGTGTACGTCCACACACCACACCATCAGTCAGTGTACGTCCACACACCACACCATCGGTCAGTGTACGTCAGTCAGTGTACGTCCACACACCACACCATCAGTCAGTGTACGTCCACACACCACACCATCAGTCAGTGTACGTCCTCACACCACACCATCAGTCAGTGTACGTCCTGACACCACACCATCGGTCAGTGTACGTCGTCACACCACACCATCAGTCAGTGTACGTCCTCACACCAAACCATCAGTCAGTGTATGTCCTCACACCACACCATCAGTCAGTGTACGTCCTCACACCACACCATCAGTCAGTGTACGTCCTCACACCACACCATCAGTCAGTGTACATCAGTCAGTGTACGTCCACACACCACACCATCAGTCAGTGTACGTTCTCACACCACACCATCAGTCAGTGTACGTCCTCACACCACACCATGAGTCAGTGTACGTCCACACACCACACCATGAGTCAGTGTACGTCCTCACACCACACCATCGGTCAGTGTACGTCCACACACCACACCATCAGTCAGTGTACGTCCTCACAGCACACCATGAGTCAGTGTACGTCCTCACACCACACCATCGGTCAGTGTACGTCCACACACCACACCATGAGTCAGTGTACGTCCACACACCACACCATCGGTCAGTGTACGTCCACACACCACACCATCAGTCAGTGTACGTCCTCACACCACACCATCAGTCAGTGTACGTCCACACACCACACCATCGGTCAGTGTACGTCCTCACACCACACCATCAGTCAGTGTACGTCCACACACCACACCATCGGTCAGTGTACGTCCACACACCACACCATCAGTCAGTGTACGTCCTCACACCACACCATCAGTCAGTGTACGTCCACACACCACACCATCGGTCAGTGTACGTCCTCACACCACAACATCAGTCAGTGTACGTCCTCACACCACACCATCGGTCAGTGTACGTCTACACACCACACCATCAGTCAGTGTACGTCCTCACACCACACCATCAGTCAGTGTACGTCCACACACCACACCATCGGTCAGTGTACGTCCTCACCACCACACCATCAGTCAGTGTACGTCCCCACACCACACCATCGGTCAGTGTACGTCCACACACCACACCATGAGTCAGTGTACGTCCTCACGTCACACCATCGGTCAGTGTACGTCCTCACACCACACCATGAGTCAGTGTACGTCCTCACGTCACACCATCGGTCAGTCTACTTCAGTCAGTGTACGTCCTCACACCACACCATGAGTCAGTGTACGTCCTCACACCACACCATCGGTCAGTGTACGTACTCACACCACACCATCAGTCAGTGTACGTCCTCACACCACACCATCAGTTAGTGTACGTCCTCACACCACACCATGAGTCAGTGTACGTCCTCGCACCACACCATCAGTCAGTGTACGTTCTCACACCACACCATCAGTCAGTGTACGTCCTCACACCACACCATCAGTCAGTGTACGTCCTCACACCACACCACGAGTCAGTGTACGTCCTCACACCACACCATGAGTCAGTGTACGTCCTCACACCACACCATGAGTCAGTGTACGTCCTCACACCACACCATGAGTCAGTGTACGTCCTCACGTCACACCATCAGTCAGTCTACTACAGTCAGTGTACGTCCTCACACCACACCATGAGTCAGTGTACGTCCTCACACCATACCATCGGTCAGTGTACGTCCTCACACCACACCATCAGTCAGTGTACGTCCTCACATCCCACCATCAGTCATTGTACGTCCTCACACCACACCATCAGTCAGTGTACGTCCTCACAGCACACCATGAGTCAGTGTACGTCCTCACACCACACCATCAGTCATTGTACGTCCTCACACCACACCATCAGTCAGTGTACGTCCTCACACCAAACCATCAGTCAGTGTACGTCCTCACACCACATTTTACCTCTATTCTGTATAAATCATAATTTAACTGGCTTTTGAAGTATCTTAATCGAGTGTGATAAATATTCAACTTTCTAACACCATAGGAAAAATATGGAGGTGCAATGACTTGCTCTTTTTGTATGTATGTCTTGAATTGGGATGTAGATGTACAATTTCTACCTGCTGCAGGAATAGTGTTCCATAACCTTACAGTTGATGGAATAAAAGAACACGTTGAGTGTTTTAATCTAGTATATGGAACCCAATATTGTCTGAATTTCTTAAATTATATGATATATTTGAACCTACAGTGGTTGGTACAATGTCTTTAAGGTAAGTTGGGGCAATATTACTTTGTATTTTGTAGAACAAACATAGCTTGCGTTTCCTTCTTCGTTCTATTAACGTTTCCCATCCTGTTTCATAATACAGATGTGTGTGCGAAGTATACTTTGGGAGCCCAGAAACTACTCTGGCAGCTTCTAGTTGGAGATTTTTTAACTGAGTTGATAATTCTATATTACACCCATCCCATCAGTCAGTGTTCGTCCTGACACCACACCATCAGTCACTGTACGTCCTCACACCATACCTTCAGTCAGTGTACATCAGTCAGTGTACGTCCTCACACCACACCATCAGTCAGTGCACGTCCTCACGCCACACCATCAGTCAGTGCACGTCCTCACACCACACCATCAGTCAGTGTACGTCCTCACACCACACCATGAGTCAGTGTACGTCCTCACACCACACCATCAGTCAGTGTACGTTCTCACACCACACCATGAGTCAGTGTACGTCCTGACACCACACCATGAGTCAGTGCACGTCCTCACACCACACCATCAGTCAGTGTACGTCCTCACACCACACCATCAGTCAGTGTACGTCCTCACACCACACCATCAGTCAGTGTACGTCCTCACACCACACCATGAGTCAGTGTACGTCCTCACACCACACCATCAGTCAGTCTACTTCAGTCAGTGTACGTCCTCACACCACACCATGAGTCAGTGTACGTCCTCACACCACACCATCGGTCAGTGTACGTCCTCACACCACACCATCAGTCAGTGTACGTCCTCACACCACACCATCAGTCAGTGTACCTCCTGACACCACACCATCAGTCAGTGTACGTCCTCACACCACACCATCAGTCAGTGTACGTCCACACACCACACCATCAGTCAGTGTACGTCCTCACACTACACCATCAGTCAGTGTACCTCCTGACACC